ATATATCTAGAAATGAATCCATTTAAAGTTATTTATAATTTATACCATCACTGATATGACTTTGGTTGACAGGCCTACTATAACTGGGCTATAGCCATTTCTGATCGAGCAAAAATACGTGGTCGGACAAAGGAGGCTGAAGAACTATGGAAGCAGGTTTGTCTATATTATTTTGTATTCCTTTTGTGCCAGACATATTCCCCATTTTATTATACGTGGACCATGTGTCACTTGTATATTTGACTTTTAAGGAAGCTAAAAAAATGAGAAATGGAAGCAGAACATCTAAAACAGATTAGTTGTGGAATTGAGATTTGACTCTTTTTTGGCTAGTACTTTATATGCATAAATTTGGAGTAAAATAATGCAGCCCACTTCTTATTGCCACTTGCAAAGGGGTGGGAGGGTGAGGCAGTTTCTTAAAAATATTTTTTATAAGCAAAGTCAAAGGTTGTGTCAACACTGACAATGGTACTCAAAGTACAAAGTAAATATGGAGTAAAAATAATGACCCACTTCTTATTGTCACTTGCAAAGGAGTGAAAGGGTTTTTTAAAAATAAATAAATAAATAAATATTTTTATCAGAAAGTGAAAGGTTGTATTGGAACTGAATTGAGTAGCAATTTTACTCAAAGTACAAAGCAAAGACTCCTTATTACGCTAATAGGCTAAAAAGAGGGAGGAAGACAGTAACAAATACACAAATGGTGCTGAATTTCATTCAGCTTTTAATTAGTTTCTAGTTCCCTTTATAAAGAGAAATAAAGGGAGACTTATTCTATTGTTTTGATTGCAGGCAACAAAAAACTATGAAAAAGCTGTCCAACTGAACTGGAACAGTCCCCAGGTATGTTCAAGGTTATTTTTTTGCTAATGCTGTAAATTGTCTACCAGGAGTGATTAGAGGCAAAATCTTTTCATATTATATTTGTTAATAATTCTGAGGTATAAAATCTATTTCAGGCACTCAACAACTGGGGACTCGCTCTTCAGGTACTTTCAGTTGTGATATTTTAACATCTTTATTTTTTCTTGTGAATTTTCTTCTGTGGTTTGCTCAGGGCTTTGTTGATTTTTGTGTTTATGACATGCAATTTAGGAACTTAGTGCAATTGTACCCGCACGAGAGAAGCAAACAATTGTGAGAACTGCAATTAGTAAGGTACAAAAGTCATTTGGAGAAATCAGATAGGAACAAGCAGCGAAGTGACTTGACATCTGATATGTCCTAAATGATGATTTCTAGCTGCATCTTTTATTCTCATGATACCTTTCTCTTATCTTTTAATGCAGTTTCGTGCAGCGATACAGTTGCAATTTGATTTCCATAGAGCAATATACAACCTTGGAACTGTTTTAGTAAGTTTTTTACTTCCTGATGCACACTCTGGATAATGTGATCCTATTCTGACCTTTGAATTTATTGTGAATTGTCTTTAAATGCTGTTCCAGTCATGAGTAAATATTGAATCCTAAACATGTAATTTTATTCCTTGAAGTATGGGTTAGCGGAGGATACATTAAGAACTGGGGGTTCTTCAAGTCCAAAAGATGTCTCCCCTAATGAGTTGTATAGCCAGTCTGCTATCTACATTGCAGCTGCACATGCATTGAAACCAAATTACTCAGTAAGTATTCATATGCTTTTTTAAACAAGAGTTTTAGTGCACTTTAGATGAGTAGGGATCCACTTACACACAAGTCTTACACATCATACTTACACAAAATCTGAACCATTCTTCTCTCCGCTTTCAATGGTTGAGATTTATTCATATTTATTAAAGATAATTATCTTTTTCATCTAAAAAGTCATGATTGATCTCAACCATTGAAAGTGGAGAAATGAATGGTCAAGATTTTGTATAAGTGTAGTGTGTAAGATTTGTATGTAAGTGGATCTCTACTCACGTTAGATTATTTCCCCACTTCTTTCTTTTCTAGAATAGATGATATAGTTATTCCTGATTTGAATCTTTTGTAGTATATTGTGCTTCCAAAATGTGTCCTTTAATATCTATTATATTTTTGGATAATAAATTTCTATTTTGTCACTTATATACAAGTTGATTTGTTTTCTTCATTCTCTGCTGGTTTTTCTTATTTGATGTTTTAAATTTACAGGTTTACAGCAGTGCCCTGAGGCTTGTGCGTTCCATGGTCAGTACTTATTACTTAATATATCTGCAAAATATTCTGCATCATGAATGACAGACCAAGTCCTCCATGCTTCTCATAGGATGGTTGTTTCAGAATAAAATGTCCTCTCTTTGATTGAGAACTTCATATTGCACCTAACCTTCCATCAAAATTTATTATTATTCCTTTGTCTTGGTCTTGGACATGATCATAGTCAATGATCATCCAAACCCATAGTTCTTCCAACAATATCTCAATTTTTTATATACATAAGTGACGAGAAGCAACTGCTTTCCCTCATCCTTGCTTTCTCTGTGGCTGTCAAGGATGTGTGGTTGTTCTTCATTCCTTTGGTTGGATGTGAAGGAAGAGTTGATGCTTTTGATTCATAAAAAGTTATTCACATCAGTAGATTGCAGTACTCATTCTTCTGTATTAGTACAATTGGTTAATTAGATTTTGTTTCTTTTTTAGTATGATATGTATGTATCTGACAGACCTCAATTTTTATGACAGCTACCTTTACCTCATCTTAAAGAAGGGTATCTCACTGCACCACCTGCTGGGAACCCAATTGCACCTCATAGTGATTGGAAGCAGTCACAGTTCATTTTGAATCATGAAGCACTTCAACAGGCTGTAAGCTTTTTTGAACAAGTCATAGATTATTATTTCCTAGTAAATTTATGTATGCTCTTATTTGGTGACTTTTGTTAATAATGAAGCATTACTTTAGAACTTTTTTTTTTTCTTTTTTTAATGGCAAAATAACACATTTACTATCGAGTTTGATGTTTTGAGGCCAGTCCAGGCTTTAAAAGACATTTTGCCCTTAATGAATTGCCGTGCATGTCTGAGTTATTAAGGTTGTAAATGTTGTTTTTTGCCTGGACAGTCTGCACTGGAAATTCCTTTTCTGTATATTATTTGATAAAGTTAATACCACAAGGCATTGTATCCTGGATGAGAGGAAATTTCTGTCTTTTGGGATCTTGGATAAAATATAATCATAGGATAAATGGAAAAGTAAAAGGAAAATTTATCTATACAAAACTCAGGGGAAGAGAGGATAGACAGCTCGGATGGGATCTGTTTTGACCTTCCATTGCAGTCCTGATATGTATATTTTAGTGTTCTGGTCCTTTGTCTGTTACATGGATCTTAGACTAGTTCTAGCCTTCCATTTTTTTAACTTCATTTCTTTCTTTTCTGTTCTCCCCCCAAGCAGGTTAACAAAGCTGAACAGAAACAAGTTTCCCGAAACCTGTCTGGCAGAACTGCAGACGTAGGAAATGTTGATAAAAGGGCTATCAGAGTTGAGATTCCTGATATTGTTTCTGTATCAGCATGTGCTGATCTGACTTTGCCACCTGGTGCAGGCCTCTGCATTGATACTATCAGTGGACCAGTTTTTTTGGTAAATGTCATTCTTCATATTTCTCTGGTCTTAAATTTTTCTATTTATGAAAGGATGCTAGTGTCTCTTACCAAATATAAAGCTTGCATTTGGCCTTTGCATGTAAAGTTAGAACTACGCATACACTTTCTAATATAATTTAACTTTTCCTTTTGGTCTATGAGTCATTTAATAGTGGAGCTGTTTACTTTTTAGCATAAATATATATTAAATTTCAATGAAATCTTAAATGCCTATTAGAGCAAATTCCTTACTACTCAACGTATTCTTCTTAGTTCTCAGTTTCCCTCTAGTTGATTTAAGTCTAAGTTAAAGTTCTAATGTTTTTGAGTTAATCTAAAATTTTTAAAAATTACTTTCTTCTCATCCCTGGTGATTTCCTAATATGTGTCCCTTTTGGTCTTTTTGCTTGTGCTATTTAGTTGTTTTACATGAATTATTTGATATCAGGCGGACCTTTGTTGGTTCAGTTACATCTTATGTGCCAAACTTCCAAGGTTTTATTAGAAAAACAATATAGCTGCTTTTCCTCAGGAAAGAGGTGTACAACTCTCGCTCCAATCTAGCTGATATATGAAATATATACCCACCCTCCCCATGTTTTTAATCAAGAATAAGAAAAATTACTGTCCTTCCATTTTCTATACGTGCTCTGTTAATATGGCCTTGTTTAGAATGAATATAAGTGGATTTATGACACTGCCATTTCAAGTTAAGGACCCATCTTTCATGTTCCTTCAGGTTGCTGACTCATGGGAATCCCTAGATGGATGGCTTGACGCTATCCGCTTGGTTTACACAATTTATGCAAGAGGTAAGGCAGATATTCTAGCAGGCATCATAACAGGCTAATTATTTTTCCTATCGCAAAACCGTCATTGTAGTGGGTTACAGTATAATTATTTTACATGAGGTAAATTTGTGACTAATGCATATTTTTGTTTGAGATG